TGATAATGGTTAGTGGCATGGGCTGGAAGAACATATGAATGTGATTCTTTTGCTAAAAGAAATGCCATTCATCTTTGTCTTACTTTGTCTTAAACCCACTATGCAAAGGAGCTGCCACACTCATTCTGTTTCTGTCTTGGCTGTGTGCCCTCTGCCTTCCAATCTGGGCTCTTCCCAGCTTCATTTCTCTGAATAGCCTTATTTGTATTCTTAGATTTCTGTCCCAAGTTGCATTTTGTAACACAGACTTGGATGGTTTAACTCGCATCACAGATGTTTCCTTTTCTTATCCAACAATACTTAAACAGTTCAGAAAAGAACTTTGTGAATTTCTCAATTGGATGCCCTACATGTTAATTCATACTAAAATATACTTTTTAGTTTGATTTATCTAACTTTTTCCTTTATTTTTTTGCATATTATCTCTTGTGTATTGTTCATCACATCTGTGTAACATACTGAGACTAAGGTCAGTTTAATAAAGCAACCACTTTATTATACTCATGGATTCTATGGGCTGGAAATTGAGATGTAGACTGAAGTACAATCTGCTCTTTTCTCTGTGATGACCGTGACCTGATTTGGAGAGATTCACGATCTGTGTGTTTGGTGAAAGAGGAGGTGACAAAGTAGCAGGTGGGGCTATAATCTACTGGGGGTGTTTTTACCCGTGTCTACTGACTGTGCTTCTGTTGTATTTTGGGGCTTCAGTTGCATGGTTCACTGAAACACCTATACATGGATTCTGTATGGCATCACTTTAAGTAGAGAAACTGAACTTCCCCTGTCTTATCGCATGCATTTTAATAATAAAAGTTAACATCTAAAGAGACCCAAAAAGGACTGCATTATCTTTTAGCAACAATCCTGTTAATTTTATAGTCATGTTCACCTTAGTCAGCATATACTCAGGCTGCATGCCTTTTCATGGGAAGAAATTCCTATTGTTATCAGAAGATCCTCAAATGACATGAGGGGTGTCCATGCCACTGTATTCAGAAAACGCAGCTTACTCTTCTTACCCTCTACTTCATGCTATCTCCATATTAGGTGCTTAAAGCAACACAAGTAAACAAATAGATGTCACAGAGGTTAAAACACCTGCCAGCAAGTGTGAAGATCAGGAGTTCAGGCCCATTTAAACCCATTAAATTCACATATTAAAGTGTGATAGCCCATCTGAAATTCTATCCACAAAACAGAAACAAAAGATTCTAGGAGCAAGCTGCCTAGCTAGGCAAGTTAAATAGGTGGATTGAGCCTTCAGGTGAAAGCCATTGCCTTAAAGAATAATGTAAGGAGTAATCCAGGAAGATACCGAGTATCAAACTCTGGCCTCTACATATACATGGAAACGCATGTCTAGGGACCTGAATACAAAGGTTTTTCTATACAAATGCAAACGAGTATAAACACATACAAACTATAGTGTAGTATAAGTGGTATACCTCATTCTTGGAGCTTCAAAACATTGAAGTAGGTCTGGCAGGACTAAAATTCAGGCATCAGACAAATACTTCCTCTCTGATAATGAGGGATGATTATGTATTTCCCAATCATAGGGTGTGCACATTCCTGGGAATATGACACTGCATCAATGTGTCCACCTCCCACAGCACTCTGTTTAATTTTCCTTCGAGGAGATGGGCGAAGAGTCATCGTTCCTTGGTGAGATCAAGGCAGATCACCCTTGTAGTGATAATTCATTTGTATTTTAATAAATAAAGCTTGCCTGAGGATCAAAGAGTGAAACAGTCACACTAGTCAGTTATACAGACTAGGAAGTAGTGGCATAAGTCTTTAATCCCAGTAGTCACAGTAGTTCACGATAGAAACCAAGCGGTAGTGGTGCACACCTTTAATATCAGCACTAGAGAGGAATATAAGGTGGGATGAGACCAAACTTGCTCTTTTTCTGTCTGAAGATTAGAGGTAAGAGCTCTCTAGTAGTTTGGCTGCTTTACTCTTTTGATCTTCAGGTTGAACCCCAATATCTGTCTCTGGGTTTTTTTTTTTTTTTTTTCGAGACAGGGTTTCTCCGTAGCTTTTGGTTCCTGTCCTGGAACTAGCTCTTGTAGACCAGGCTGGCCTTGAACTCACAGAGATCCGCCTGCCTCTGCCTCCCTAGTGCTGGGATTAAAGGCGTGCGCCACCACCGCCCGGCTTGTCTCTGGGGTTTTTATTTTTTTTTTATTTTTTGATTTTCAGAGACAAGGTTTCTCTGTAGCTTTGAAATCTGTTCTGGAACTAACTCTTGTAGACCAGGCTGGCCTCAAACTCACAGAGATCCAACTGCCTCTGTCCCTCGAGTACTGGGATTAAAGATGTGCACCATCACCACTCAGTTTTGCCTCTGGATTTTTATTATTTGTGCTACACACCATGATTGTCTTCTCATGTATACTTTGGGGAGCTACATCACTGATTTATCCCTTAATTATAAATATTCCCATAGTGTTCCTTCATCTTAATATGTTGTTTCACCTGCATATAATAAATGTATTCTTTAAAAGAACATAAGTGGACATTGATTTGTGTCTGTTCAGTTTACTAATAACTCAAAGTGTACACAAAAAGATATTTAATAAAAATGCATTGCCATAGTTGTCAAATGTTTTGTGAAAAGCCAAACAGAATAAACAAGACTAAGTCAAGAGTACAAGATGACTTTTCCTAAGTTAATCATTGAATTCTGTTTTAAAGTTTGTATAATTTTCCCAAATCCTGACATCAAGTATTGTTACTCTCAATAGAAGTATAGTATATTAAAAAACAAATTAAAATAAATCAGAAGTTGTTTACATTACTTGCATGTATCTATATTTAGGTTATAAATGGCCACCTTAACAAGAAAATATTAAGAGAGTTTTTAATTCATTAGTAATCAATTTTAGATGGCCAGAATGAGCTGTCAATACTATAGTCAATGAGAAAGGGAGAAAAAGAAACAAAGAGAAATGCAAAGGTTTTAGGTGATGTCAATGTGGAATATATTTTCTTTGAGTTATGGATGTAGAGTTGAACAAGTCAATGTGAAGAAAATATAGCTCAAAACTTTGAAACATCTAACTTCAAATTTTAGATGTACACTTAATAAAAATGTCATGAAAGAACACTTAAAAACCTTCTCTAATCCTTGTAGGGAGGAAGTGTCATTGCAGAAGATGGGACAGAGAAATCTTTTTTTTTTTTCCGAAAGAAACTTTATTGGGATGTGTTTGAGGCCTTTAATAAACTGAATCACAGTAGCAAAGTATTGGACAAAAGTCGAACCAGTACAGCAACAGGGTCAAGGTTACTTTGATAATACCAGATGCCAGTATTGCCCCTCCCCAAGCCTGACAGTCAATAAATTTACAGTTGTATTAAAGTCTGTTACACCAGGTTGTCTTTCCCCAGATTAACTGTAAATGCTCCACATACCCCATAGTCTACACAGTCATCATTGGTAACAATGTTGAATGATGATTCTGGGATACATGTAAAGGTTACTGCTGACAGGGTACTAGAATTTCTTTAGGCTTTGAGAACAGGCTCCAGAGAAGATCAGTGAGGAGAAGCCAGGGCACTGTATTCTTCAGTAACCAGGTAGAGGTATGAATCTACCTTTGTCTTCCTGCTTGTGGTCCCAGAAACCTCTGAAGCATGAACTATAATGAAATCCAGTACCTGGATTTACAGCTGCTCTGGATTACTGTAGAGATCATCCGGGAAGAGAGTGTAGGCAGCATTCTCCACAGAAAGAACTCTGTAGAGAGCCCTCTCACACATGACCTTCATACTCTCCAGACCATACTTGAAAGCAGCTGCAAACACAGCATTGCAATGAAGTGGAGGTCTGGTTCCTTCTGATTATAAATGAAGCCAATAACTGCCTTAAAGACTTGCGGCATAGGTCAATGGTCTCAGCACCAATGGTCTCTCCTCCATGTCATATTAAAACATGGTTCTGAAAACTGGAGAGCAAGCTGTTAAGATGACTGTGAACTGCCGGGCGGTGGTGGCGCACGCCTTTAATCCCAGCACTCGGGAGGCAGAGGCAGGCGGATCTCTGTGAGTTCGAGACCAGCCTGGTCTACAAGAGCTAGTTCCAGGACAGGCTCCAAAACCACAGAGAAACCCTGTCTCGAAAAACCAAAAAAAAAAAAAAAAAAAAAAAAAAAAAAAAAAAAAAAGATGACTGTTAACTTGGAATTCCTGCACAGCTACCACCACACAGCAGTCTGTGAAGTGGGAATTCTCCCACAGCTCTCCTAGCACATTGGACAATGTGCATCTTGAAACCTTAATCTCTGGCTGTTTGCTTTCCTCAAAGATTCTGTAGGAGTCTGGGATCAGAATACCTATGAAGGGGAGAATGAGCTCACCTTCAGGGAGAAGCGAATATGCATGGTGTATAGAAAATCTTGAAGGATGAACATTTTGTAACCCCTTTCATAACCTGGCAGGAACCTGAAAGATTTTAGACTTGGCACAATTTCACGACTTTCTCCTTCGGAGTTGATGATCCAAAACTTGAATTATGTCATAATGGGACTCTTTGGAGAGCTGAGTAACTCTGGGTTAACTGACAGGTAATTTGAGCTTTCTTCATCGAAACCCTTTGGGTAAACTCTCAAACACCACTTGTCATTGTCTCCTCTTGAGAAAGTTGGGCTTCTAATGCTGTCCTTCATTTGCTCCAGAATAAAATAGAAGTTGTGAATGGAACACATGCAGGAGAAATTCTGGATGTTGAACATTTTGTAGTCTCAGCTCTGGGCTATGGCATCCTGTGACATTTCTCCTCGTATTTGGAGAAGCCAAGATTGAATATTTGTCTCAGAAAACACAGTTAGTAGCTGATGAGAATTTCAAAGTTCTAGGTGAAGCTGTTTCAAACATTGAAGGAAATACTCAGACTCAGACAGTACAAGAGGAAAGTGAGGAGGAAGTGGTTGATGAAGCAGGTGTCGAAGTTAAGGACATAGAATTTGTTATGTCACAGGCGAATGTGTCCAGAGCAAAGGTAGTGAGCCCTGAAAAACAACAGTAATGATATTGTAAATGTTATTATGGAATGAACAATGTAACTATTTGACAGCGAGGACAACCCCTGTCCCCTCCCCCTTTTTTGGTGTTTCAAAGGTGGAACTACAGCTTGGTTTGAAATTTGAACAATTTTTTTTTCCATTTTTTTTTTATTGAGAAAAGGAGAAAAAAAAAACAAGTTTCCACCTCCTCCAAACCTCCCATTTCCCTCCCCCTCCTCCCACCCTACGCCCCCTCCTCCCACCCTTCTCCCCCTCCCCCCACTCCTTTCCCCCTCCCTCTCCAGTCCAAAGAGCAGTCAGGGTTTTCTGCCCTATGGTAAGACCTAGGACCTCCCCCCTCCGTCCATATCTAGGAAGGTGAACATCCAAACTGGCTAGGCTCCCACAAAGCCATCACATTACATAAGATCAAACCACCGTGCCATTGTCCTTTGCGTCTCATCAGCCCTCATTGTTCGCCATGTTCAGAGGGTCCAGTTTTATCCCATGCTTTTTCAGTCACAGTCCAGCTGGTCTTGGTGAGCTCTCAATAGATCAGCTCCACTGTCTCAGTGGGTGGGTGCATGCCTCGTGGTCCCGATTTCTTTGCTCATGTTCTCCCTCCTTCTGCTCCTCATTGGGACCTTGGTAGCTCAGTCCAGGGCTCCAGTGTGGGTCTCTGTCTCTATCTCCATCCATCACAAGATGAAGGTTCTATGATGATATGCAAGATATTCGTCAGTTTTGCTCTAGGATAGGGTCATTTCAGGTTCCCTGTCCTCAACTGCCCAGGAACTAACTGGTGACCTCGGCTTGGGCACCTGGGAGCCCCTCTAGGGTCAGGTCTCTTTCCAATCCTAAAGTGGCTCCCTTAACTAAGAATTGTGGTTCCATGCTCCCCTGTCCAACCTTCCTTTATCCCAATCCTCCTGTTTTCCCAAGGCCCGACCTCCTTCCCTTCTAACTTTTTCACTCCCCATCTCCCCTTACCCCCATCCTACCCCACCCCCAAGATCCCAATTTTCTCCACGGCAATTTTGTCTACTTCCCTTAGCCAAGAGGATAACTATATGTTTTTCCTTGGGTTCCCCTTCTTACTTAGCTTCTTTAGGTTCACCTATTGTAGACTCCGTGACCCTTATTTATGGCTAGAAACCAATTATGAGTGAGTATATCCCAAGTTCATCTTTTTGGGTCTGGGATACCTCACTCAGGATAGTGTTTTCTATTTCCATCCATCTGCATGCAAAATTTGAGAAGTCATTGTTTTTTACCGCAGCGTAGTACTCTAATTTGTAGATATTCCATACTTTCTTCATCCATTCTTCCATTGAAGGGCATCTAGGTTGTTTCCAGGTTCTGGCTATTACAAATAATACTGCTATGAACATAGTTGAACAAATGCTTTTGTCATATGATAGGGCATTTCTTGGGTATATTCCCAAGAGTGGTATTGCTGGGTCCAGGGGGAGGTTGATCCCGAATTTCCTGAGAAACCGAAACACTGACTTCCATAGTTGTTGCACAAGATTGCATTCCCACCAGCAATGGATGAGGGTACCCGTTCCTCCACAGCCTCTCCAGCAAAGGTTATCCTTGGTGTTTTTGACTTTAGCCATTCTGACAGGTGTAAGATGATATCTCAAAGTTGTTTTGATTTGCATTTCCCTGGTTGCTAAGGAGGTTGAGCATGACCTTAAGTGTCTTTTGGCCATTTGAACTTCTTCTGTTGAGAATTCTCTGTTCAGATCATTGCCCCATTTTTTAATTGGGTTAATTAGCATTTTAAAGTCTAGTTTCTTGAGTTCTCTATATATTTTGGAGATCAGACCTTTGTCTGTTGCGGGGTTGGTGAAGATCTTCTCCCAGTCAGTAGGTTGCCTTTGTGTCTTAGTGACAGTGTCCTTTGCTTTACAGAAGCTTCTCAGTTTTAGTAGGTCCCATTTATTCAATGTTGCCCTTAATGTCTGTACTTCTGGGGTTATACATAGGAAGCAATCTCCTGTGCCCATCTGTTGTAGGGTATTTCCCACTTTCTCTTCTATCCTTTTCAGTGTGTTCGGGCTGATATTGAGGTCTTTAATCCATTTGGACTTGAGTTTTGTGCACGGTGAAAGATGTGGGTCTATTTTAATTCTTCTACAGGTTGACATCCAGTTGTGCCAGCACCATTTGTTGAAGATGCTTTCTTTCTTCCATTGTATACTTTTTTATCAAAAATGAGGTGTTCATAGGTTTGTGGGTTAAAATCCGAGTCTTCTATATGATTCCATTGGTAGACTTCTCTGTTTTAATGCCAGTACCACACTGTTTTCATTACTGTAGCTCTGTAATAGAGTTTGAAGTCAGGGATGGTAATGCCTCCAGAAGATCCTTTATTGTATAGGATTGTTTTGGCTATCCTGGGATTTTTGTTTTTCCATATAAAGTTGATTATTGTCCTCTCCAGATCTGTGAAGAATTTTGATGGGATCTTGATGGGGATTGCAATGAATATATAAATTGCCTTAGGTAGAATTGCCATTTTTACTATGTTGATCCTCCCAATCCAAGAGCAAGGGAGATCCATCCATTTTTTGGTATCCTCTTCAATTTCTTTCTTCAATGCCTTAAAGTTCTTGTCAAATAGATCTTTCACTTCCTTGGTTAGATGTACCCCAAGATATTTTATGCTGTTTGTGGCTATCGTGAATGGTGAAGCTTCTCTGATTTCCCTCTCTGCTTCCATATCCTTTGTGTATAAGAGGGCGACTGATTTTTTGGAGTTGATCTTGTATCCTGCCACATTACTAAAGGTGTTTATCAGCTGTAAAAGTTCTTTGGTGGAGTTTTGGGGGTCGCTTATGTACACTATCATATCATCTGCGAATAACGAAAGTTTAACTTCTTCCTTTCCAATTCGAATCCCCTTGATCCCATTATGTTGTCTTATTGCTATTGCTAGAACTTCAAGCACTATATTGAAGAGGTATGGCGAGAGTGGACAGCCTTGTCGTGTTCCTGAATTAAGCGGGATGGCTCTGAATTTCTCACCGTTTAATTTGATGTTAGCTGTCGGCTTGCTGTAAATAGCTTTTATTATATTTAGGAATGACCCTTGTATCCCTAATCTCTCCAAGACTTTTAACATAAATGGATGTTGAATTTTGTTGAATGCTTTTTCAGCAACTAATGAGATGATCATATAGTTATTTTCTTTCAGTTTATTTATATGCTGGATTATATTGATAGATTTTCATATGTTGAACCAGCCCTGCATCTCAGGAATGAAGCCTACTTGATCATAATGGATAATATTTCGGATGTGTTCTTGGATTCGGTTTGGCAGTATTTTGTTGAGGATTTTTGCGTCGATGTTCATGAGTGAGATTGGCCTGTTATTCTCTTTCCTGGTTGAGTCTTTGTGTGGTTTTGGTATCAGAGTAACTGTAGCTTCATAAAAGGAATTAGGTAATGACCCTTCTGTTTCTATATTGTGGAATACATTAAGGAGTATAGGTATTAGCTCTTTTTGGAAGTTCTGGTAGAATTCTGCATTGAAACCCTCTGGTCCTGGGATTTTTTTGGTAGGGAGGTTTTTGATAACAGCTTCTAATTCTTCGCGACCAACAGGTCTGTTTAGATTGTTCACCTGGTCCTGGTTTAACTTTGGTAAATGGTATTTATCTAAAAAAGTGTCCATTTCTTTTACATTTTCCGGTTTTGTGTTATACAGGCTTTTGTAATAAGATCTGATGATTCTCTGAATTTCCTCTGTGTCTGTGGTTATGTCCCCTTTTCATTTCTGATCTTATTAGTTTGCGTATTCTCTCTCTGTCGTTTGATTAGTTTGGATAGGGGTTTATCAATCTTGTTGATTTTCTCCAGGAACCAGCTTTTTGTTTCATTGATTCTTTGGATTGTTTTCTGTGTTTCTATTTTGTTGATTTCAGCCCTCAGTTTGATTATTTCCAATCTTCTACTCCTCCTAGGTAAGTCTGCTTCTTTTTTTTTCTAGAGCTTTCAGGTGGGCTGTTAAGTCTTCCATATGTGCTTTTTCTGTTTTCTTTAAGTGGACACTTAGTGCAATGAACTTTCCTCTTAGGACTGCTTTCATAGTGTCCCATAAGTTCGAGTATGTTGTTTCTTTATTTTCATTGAATTCAAGGAAGACTTTAATTTCTTTCTTTATTTCTTCCTTAATCCAGGTATGGTTCAGTAGTTGACTGTTCAGTTTCCATGAGTTTGTAGGCTTTCTGGGGGTAGCATTGTTGTTGAATTCTAACTTTAATCCATGGTGATCTGATAAGATGCAGGTGGTTACTAATATTTTTTTGTAACTCTGTAAGTTAGCTTTGCTACCGAGTATGTGGTCAATTTTCGAGAAGGTTCCATGAGCTGCAGAGAAGAAGGTATATTCTTTCCTCTTTGGGTGGAATAATCTATAGATGTCTGTTAAGTCCATTTGCTTCATTACCTCCATTAATTCTCTAATTTCTCTGTTAGGTTTCTGTTTGATTGACCTGTCCATTGGTGAGAGAGGAGTGTTGAAGTCTCCTACTATTAGTGTGTGTGGTTTGATTGCTGCCTTGAGTTTTAGTAATGTTTCTTTTACATACGTGGGCGCTTTTATATTAGGGGCGTAGATATTCAGGATTGAGACTTCATCCTTATGAATTGTTCCTGTTATGAGTATAAAATGCCCCTCTACATCTCTTCTGATTGATTTAAGTTTGAAGTCAACTTGGTTAGAAATTAATATCGCCACACCTGCTTGTTTCTTAGGTCCATTTGCTTGATAAGCCTTTTCCCGGCCCTTTACTCTGAGTAGGTGCCTGTCTTTGTGGTTGAGGTGTGTTTCTTGTAGACAGCAGAATGTTGGATCCTGTTTTCGTATCCAATCTCTTAGCCTGTGCCTTTTTATAGGTGAGTTGAGCCCATTGACATTAAGTGATATTAATGACCAGTGGTTGTTAAGTCCGGTAACTTTTTTAGTAGTAGGGTTTGTGTGTTTCCCTTCTTTGAGTTGCACTGGTGAAAGGTCTCTAGATGACTGAGTTATTGTGGGCATTGTTGGACTCCTTGGTTAGTGATTTTCCTTCTATAATTTTCTGTAAGGCTAGATTTGTGGCTACGTATTGTTTAAATTTGTTTTTATCCTGGAAAATTTTGTTTTCTCCATTTATAGTGAATGAAAGTTTGGCTGGATATAGTAGTCTGGGCTTGCATCCGTGGTCTCTTAGTTTTTGGAGTACATCTATCCAGGATCTTCTGGCTTTCATGGTTTCCATAGAGAAGTCAGGTGTAAGTCTGATAGGTTTACCTTTATAAGTAACTTGGCCTTTTTCCTTTGCGGCTCTTAATATTCTTTCTTTTTCTGTATATTTTGTGTTTTGATTATTATATGGCGAGGGTATGTTTTTTTTTTTTTTTTGATCCAGCCTATTCGGTGTTCTGTATGCTTCTTGAACCTTCATAGGTACCTCTTTCTTCAGATTGGGAAAGTTTTCTTCTATAATTTTATTAAGTATATTTTCTGTACCGTTGAGCTGCACTTCTTCTCCTTCTTCTACTCCAATTATTCTTAGCTTTGGTCTTTTTATTGTGTCCCAAATTTCCTGAATGTTTTGTGATGAGAATTTTTTGGTTTTGCTGTTTTCTTTGATCAGTGTGTTTATTTTCTCTATGGTATCTTCAGTGTCTGATATTCTCTCTTCTATCTCTTGTAATCTGTTGTTAGTACTTGTCTCTGTCGTTCCTGTTCGTTTACCCAGATTTTCCTTCTCCATTCTTCCCTCGGTTTGTGCTTTCTTCATTGCTTCCATTTCATTCTTCATGTCTTGAACCGCTTCCCTAACCTGTTTGATTGCTTTTTCTTGTTTCTCTTGGTTTTCTTGCGTGTCTTTGAGCGATTTATTCATTTCCTCTACCTTTTTGTTTGTAATCTCTAATTGTTTATGGCAGTTTTTCACCTCCTGTTTAAGGTCCTCTATTATTTTCACATAGTTCACTTTTGAGTCGATTTCTTCAATTTCTTCAGGAGTAGGGTGTACAATTCTTCTTATTTCGGGATCCCTGGGTTCTGGTGGTGTCATGTTGCTTTTCAGGTTGTTGGAGGAATTCTTGCATTGGCGCCTTCCCATCTCTTCCTTCAAATGGAGCCAGGAGAGGCCTGGTCTCTTGGTCCAGTCTTTGCTGTGATTGACTTTCAGGGTATATCTCTTCAGTGTAGAAGCAGGAACTGTTCCCGTCCCGATGGGATTCCTCAGCAACTAAACAGGGCAGCCGGTAGCCCAATGATCCAGGGCCAACAGGATGAATGGAGAAGGGGGGTTGGTATCCAGGAGCACGCAGGAAGCCTGGCGCCAGAGGTGAAGGTGCCCAGCTCCCTTACAGGGGACCCTGAGGCCTGCCCGGTAGGCAGGCACTCACCACTCTGGGTGGGTCACTTTAGTTTAGGAGCTTAAAACTGTACTTGAGCACTGGACCTAGCATACAGCAGGGGAGTGTTTGGGAGGGGTGCTGGGGGTGCTGGGTCGTGTGAAAGAAAGACAGCCCTGCAGAAGGAGCTGGGGGAGGGGGGGTTGTGCTCTCTTCCAGGACAGTCTGCCCCTGGATAGCACACACTCACCCGTCCTGATGGGATTCCTCAGCCGGGACAGAGAAATCTTAAGGATAGATTGGGCATGTCGGTGACAACATATTTTTACTGCATGGACATGACGTAGCCATTGCACACCTGGACGCATTGGGGCTGACTCAAGAGTACAAGTCCTGCTCAAGATTAAGTCAGTCAGCCCAAATGCCAACAAGGCCAATGGACAGTCTCACAAAGTCCCAGATCTAGCTGAGAATCTATTGACTATTGACGGCTCTGGGAAAGAGTCAGTTTTCCTCATGGATGTATTCCATGAGTGACTATCCATGCTCAAGTCGCTGGTCACACTCCTGTGCACATATAAGCAAGAGAGAAGAGAGGGAGAGAGAGCAGCTGATAGGAAAACTATATAAAAGGGGTGGTGGGACAGGCACTGGAATGATGAAGATGGGGTAAATTATACTAAGATGCATATGCATGTATCAAATAAGCAACTAAAATGTATCCTAAATATATTTAAATAGATATTAAATACCAATTATCAGCAAATGTTTATCTTAGGAAAAGTTTTCGGTCCCTGGAGAAATGAGAAATACAATATGTGTGACCCTTTACTGATTGAAGGTTTCCATATGAGGTAGAAGATATAAGTACAAAATTATATCTGGACACACAGAATTGTACCTGTTTGGGCAGGGCACAGAAAGTCAGTCCTTTCTGGGGTCAATGGAAGTAAATTCCCAACTTTTGTTTTCTTCTCTCACTCTTTGGCCTAATCAAGTCACCATCAAGAGCTTCTTAGTCTACTAACCATTGCTTTCACCGAGACTCACAAAACATATGAAATGTTGCAGAGTAACTTACCATTCAAAAGAAGTGCAGTTTGACACTCTAGATAGGGCTCCACAATTTAAGTGCATCAGAAAGTTGCATAAACAACGCCTAGGGGAGAGGAAAATAAGAACAGAATGAGACTGGAAAAACAAAATTAAACAAAAACACATTTCTTTGGATAAGGGAGAAGGCAAAATTTGGATATCCAGGCTTGGAGCCACTGCTGCTGCTTCAGGATGAGGAAGGGAACAGGGGACTTTACACCTCAGTGCTAGTATGCCATGCCTCCAAGCTTGAGAAACAGTATCAATAGCTGATTTCCTTTGAGTATTCACTCAACTCAACTCAAGGGGCAAGAGGGGAAAGAGGTACATAGAGATTTTGGCAGACATAGAATTTAACCCCACCTGATTAGAGACAAACACTTCAAAGTTTCAAAACAGCCCCAAAGGAAGAACAATGTCACTTACTTCTCACAAAAATAAAAAAAAAAAGAAAACTTTGATGGCACTGATGACTTCATTATCCCCAAGATTTCAAAACAGCATCTATGAAAGAGGGGTAGGAAGTAAAAGTCACGGGGAAGATATTTTTAAATTTGTGTTAAAAATAGATCAAAGTTGCCAAGAAAGAGAAAGTAGACAACACCAGGATGAACACCCAGATACTGGGTAATCAGTGGACTTGGATTTTCTTTTAACTCTATCAACAATACCATGCTTTGATCCTATGTTGACCAAGAAAGAGTAGTGTTGGAAGAGAATTTGAAGAAAGAATAATATTAAAATTTGTAAACCTATCTTGATACAACCTGAAACAAAATATTATTACTATTTATTGGCTTTCTTTTGTTAGTTACTTAATATCTCATCACTGATCTTATGATAATCAAGAAGTTTATTAAAGAAGAATTTTATAACTTGTGTAATTTCAGTAGCAATATTAATAAATTCTGTCACTGATGGTACCACTGCCTTATCTTTATCCTGCCTTGGTTTGTGGGAGACACATTAATAATGTATTGGGACCGTTAGTTATGGTGCTAGCCATGTCGTTCTCGGTACATATTTTCATTCTATTTTTTGTCTGCAATCAGTTCTGAGAGTTTATCAGGTTGTGTACTTCCATAAAATTCTACCTAAACTGCTCTCCTTCCAAAATTTAATCCCACATACTACCTGCTCTTGTCTGTTGTGTCTTACCTAACCACACTCACTTCAGAACTCATCGCTCCAGACTTTCTCTTTCCCCAACATTCCATTTACTGACACACTCCTGGGAGAACTTGAGCCTGATTTTAAGGCTAGATGAGAGATACATGCTCACTTACAAGCTTTGAGGATAGAACTTTGACTCACAACAAAGCTTCTTGCATCAATGTAATGGTTGATGCACATGCTCAGACTAAGATGACCAGGACTATCTCTTGAACTTTTCAAATTGGAGGTTAATAAACTCATCCATTCTGATCCTTATAAGATGACATTATAGAAGTTGGAGAAAACTAAGATAATCCTGCAAAGAAATAGGCCTAGCCTAAGCTGGAGAGACAAGTCTGAACAAAATGAGGACAATGCCTCCATTTGCATCTTAAGACATACTCATCTCTGCTCTTTAGAGTGAAACATGCATACAACAAACTGACAAGCAGAACACTCCATGCCAATCATTTGTCTCTTGCTCACCACCAGTAAGGCAGAGCTGTTGGAGAAAATGCTTATTTATATCTGTGCCTCAACACTTGACAAAGCATCATCTTGGTTGTTTAATAAATATTTGTCAAACAAGAGAATAGAGATGAGTCTTGTTTATCAGGCATGTAGCTATAGAGTACTGATATCTACTGTAATAGTTTCAGGTGACTGACAGGTTGTAAATGTGGCAGCAGATTGAGTCTTTCTTTTCAAAATAATTTCTCCAGTTGCATTCTATTGTGTATTCTACACATACACACACAGACAACACACACACACACACACATACACACTCATACACACATACACACACAACATACACAGATACATATACACACGCACACTTCTACTCCCAGTGTTTCCTCTACCTGCTGCCTCCTCCTTGGTCTTTTCAGAAAACTTTCTGTAAAGCTCCGTTCAAATAGCAAATTTGCCAACTACTTCAGGATGCAACTCCTTTTAGACCTTGGGAGACATCTCTTTATCTCAACTGTAAGAGCAGATGTCATTTTATTTATTTCATTATGTAAGAATCATTTATTTTCAAATCCACCTGTGCCGTTCCCAGAGGTTTTATATTAAAGGAATACCTTTTTGATTCAGATACGTGTTCTCAGCTTCTGCCAGCTATGGGCAAACAGTTAATACTCAACAAGTACTTGAAAAGAAATCATTCTAGAAATAGTTTTGCCCAAGTCCAAATTGAATACATTACACAGTACGTATTATTCTATCACTTTTATAGGTGAGATGTGATATTATTTTCATTTTGGTAAAAAGAATTTTCTTGATTATAGCAGTGAATCCTCAAACAGCCCATTTCCTGGCAGAAAATAGAAAAGCTTATACATATACACACATAGATAAATCATGCTAATTTCAATGTATTAAATTCTCATGGCTCATCTCAGGAAGCAATCATTTTATTTCTCCCATGGGCCAAATCCAACTTGAAATCTTCATAAAAATAGAAGACACTGTCTTTTAAACTCTGCAATCCATACCTTTCAGGTGAATATTTTCTATGAGGGAGTAATTGTGCTAGGAACTTTGATAATTTGTACCATAATCCTCAACACTATTCTCTGAAATGTACCTTAGAGCAGTGGGTGTAACTCACCAATAGACCACTTGCTTTGAATGCACAAATGTGTTGGTAGTATTTCTGGATATGCTAAATAAATAAATAAATAAATAAATAATTTCTATGAATGAAAGAACACATATTTGAAATGTATTCCCTAACTTAAATTTTTTAACTGAATGAAATTCAATTTAATTATTTGTGAGCACATAGACAGTATCAAAGTGTCTGCAAAAAAAAAAATCAGAGCAATAAACTTGGGTAAGGGTTAAACAAGGTCTGTGTTCAATTGAGCAAAGCTTTTGAAAGAGTCATGCCAAGTAATGACCTTCCTTAATTAGCTCTGCCAATCCTTGTCAATACTCTAGAGCAAGGACTTAAAGTAGCTACTTAAATAGCAATTATTCAGAAATAGAAAGCAAACAAGAGGGACAAGGCAAATGTCCCGTTTAACTTACCACAGCACGGAGAAGTATTTGTTAATGGAGACAGAGATTGGAACTGGCCCCTTAAGTCAAATATGGCTAACTAGCTGAAATGTACTTACTTGTTCCTTGTTTCTCCTTTTGATCTAAATATTCTTTTTGGCTCTTCCTTTTATGTCTATCTTACAAGTATGAAATTTCAGCACATTGATAGTATTTAATTACTTCTAAACTTGCCTTTCTATGGCCACTCTTTCAGTGGAATTTGTTCTTTCTCTTCATTATGTTGATTGTTTTTCTTGATGTGAGATCCTTAAAGGATCATGTATAAAATCAAAACTAAGAACAAACAGAAAAGCTGAGAAGGAATATAGTAACGAATAAAAACCCAAAGAAGAAATAAAAAAAGAATGCAAAATCAAATATAAACTAAAATAAATACAAAAAATTATAATTGAAAGATGGACTGGGGGTGGTGTAGAAATCTCCAGTTCCTCCTATCTGTTGTGCTTGGAGCTCAAATAAACACACTTGACCACAGGCTGTGCCGACTGAGCTAGACTGCCCGTGACTTTCAAGGTGGCAACAAGTATTGGGGTAGTCCTGGAACTCTGCTGCCCCTTGTTAGTATTCCCCTCCCTGTAGAGCTACATGGGTTAGAAGCAAATGCAGGTGGAGCAGTTTGTTTCTCACCTAATTATTTAAGGCAGAAAAATGGGCAAACGTGTGTTTTCTCTGCAGATGATTGTATTCTGCACTTGAGGAATGTGGCAAATGCTGGCAGTCCTGTGTGCTCTTCTCTTGTGCTGACACTCTGTGCATTTTGCATTCTGGTGGTTTCCAGTCTGTGTGCCTAGGCTTAAAGAAGATGCCAAAGATGTAGAAATGGGAGGAAGATCATGAACATGGGATAGAATCCTCTTACCACATACCCCAGCAGAATAGGGTTTCCAGGAACTCAGAATTCCACTTCCCTTTATCCTCTTACCTTCAGAGCCTCTGTGAAACCAAATGTGACTAGCGTTGCTCAAAGCCACAGAGGCCTGATTTGCTGAACTGCTGAACCTGGAGGCAATGCCCTCTATTCAACCTTCTGCTTCTATTTGTTTGAAAGTCTCAGTGAGTTTGAATCATGCCAGAACTGTCTCCCATCTTTGGTCAATGTACCAGGGTATACACAGAGATTCTCTAATATTCTTAGTACAGCTTCAGGAATATTCCTTTTATTTCTTGCTTTGTAATTCACCAAAATCTCTGCATTTTATGAAGTTTATTTTCCAGTGTTTACCAACATTCACCTCTGTACACACTACTCATGCATTGCTTTTCAAGTACCCCATGGAAGAGAAGACTGATGCTATGTGACTCTCTTCTACCATTTTTTCATCTCTTGGTATTATTTTTAAGCTTATTTTTTCCAAGTGAAGCACATGGAAAAAAAAAGATGCATCCCAAGAGTAAGAATTCAACCTCATCCTGCTATCCTATTCAAGATTGTTCTTATGAGGGACTGGTGAGCTAGAATCCAGGTGATGGAAGACCAAGGAGGCATTTAGTATAATGTAGAACAAATCTAAAGCAAGCATGCCTCATCTAGGATAACTGAGGGCAAAAGGCACTAAAGGCCACACTCAAACTGATCTTTTTTAGTAAATAACCAGTAATTTCCATTATAATCTTTTCCCTGCATATTATTTCCTGTGTCAGACTATCACTTAAGCCAGATCATGGTATATCTAAAAGGAAATTACAGTCTAAATCATTGCCCCCTTGTATTCCTTTTCCTGGCCCAAGGCTTCAGATAGAGTGTGGAAGGTGCCCATACAAATATAATAAAAATTACTAGAGTTTACTTTATGCCTTTACTCTGATCTAGTAAGATGGAAAAAACATATAGCCATTAGT